GGAGAAGGCCTGGAAGGTGAGGACCACAGTGGTGCCTGTGGTCATCGGGGCCCTCGGGGCAGTCACCCCCAAACTGGAGCAGTGGCTCAAACAGATCCCAGGAACAACATCAGACATCTCAGTCCAGAAATGTGCAGTTCTAGGCACAGCCAAGATACTGGAGGCCTCTGGTAGAGGACCCGAGCTCAGAGGATGAAAGAGAGAGAGAGAGAGAGAGAGAGACCACCGGCGGAGGGTGAGAAGGGAATTTTTTATTTTTTTTTATAATAATATGTGTGTGTATGTGTACCTAAAGTTTTACACATAGAAAGTGAAGTTAAATACATCATATTTTGATGGGGACATTGTCCCTCCATCTGATTGTCCCTTACTGTCCTGAAGCACTGACAGCTAACTGGCTGATGGTGTTTAGAACAGAAGCAGCAGAGGAAACAGTGGTGCAGAGAAAGAGTTTTTTCCTCTTCTGGTAAATTTCATAATCTTTATTTTTCTTCCTCATTATAAATATCTCTAATGATGCTTTATTTTTTTCTTACTCTCACTCTTTTAGATTCTGCAGTACATAATAGTACTGCTTTTGTTCGCCTTTCTTCATGTCTCCGTACGCCAGTCCATCTAATTTGTTATTTATTCAGTTTATTTTTCATGTATTTTCTGTACATGTCAGATTTTCCCATCTTTTCTTCCTTCCCTTCCTCTACTGCCGCTGCCCCTTCCCTCCACCTCTTCCCCTCCTCACTGCCTTTCTCTCTCTATCACCACCCCCTCGCTGTTTCAAGGACATTTATATTATAAAGGATGAATTTGCATATTAATTCATTTCTTTCAATTTTTCAGATTAGACGTTGTCAACATATATCAGCAGTGATCAACCAGTGCATCCACCAGAGACCTGGCTGCGTGTCTGTGTGCTTGCTTGCATGTGTAAAATGTTCTTCATCTATTTATTCAGTGGAACCATGCTGGCTGTTGAGGACAAGCAGCAGACTCACAGATCCTGCATGACTCTGATCTTGGTGATCTGATCTTGTATTTCTACCTGCAGAGATTACATGCTGATGAAGGCATAACATCTGCAGAGTTTAGGCTGTGGTCTAACAACACGTAGAACTTATTTCTGAGTTTCTTCTCTATGTTTTCAGATGTGTTGTGACATCTTTTTCAGCTTGAATGTAATAAAAGGCATCAAGCTTATATGGTTTAATAGCATTTAATAGCAGTTGTAGTTATCCAATAAATCTGCCTGACAGAAATGTTATATTTATTTCACAAACGTGTTTCTGATGTAACTTATGGATTTTTGAAACCATGTAAAACATTAACGTAGTTCATTACAATCAAATCACTACTTGTCATTTACACAGTAAAGTAATAAACCACTGTAAAATATCTTTCTCTTTATTATGACCACGGAAAAATTGATCATAACTTTGTTTTTGGAAGAATGAATAAACCTAAAAGTACATTTCCCAGCATGCACTGTTCATCCTGTTTTCTCTTTTGTATGTTGATCAAATACAGTGGAATAAACTCTTGAAGTGAAATTGAAATAATGGTTCAGAAGACTTCAAGAACCATGATGACATTTAGTTTTCTCATCAAATGCACTTAGACTAAAACCTGAAGAACTGCAACAATCACTGACATCTACTGGTCAAGATAGAGAATTCAGCCTATCAGAAATGCCATCCATCCACCAGCTGGCAGAAAGGAAACAAACATAACATTTGTTTTTTGTCATTTTTCTGGGGTTTATTATTCCTTCTCTCAAATATGTAGTGCTACTTTTAGAAGATAACTCTGATTCTGCATTTTTGAAAAGTGAAAAATTGTACAACACCCTTGTCAGTAGTGGAAATAGAAACAGATAGTGAGGTTTCTACTTTATTGGAATAAGTTGAAATATGTGTCCATAATGTACTCATTTAAACTGCAGATAGATTAAATTGAATGAATTTATTTGAGGTATTTTTTTTTTTTTTGGAACTAAGGCCCAAACAAATATTAGACCACAAAAAAAGTTCATGGAAACCAAAACCAATCAGAGGCCAGTGAACAGAATGCAACAAAACCTTCACCTTTTTGGATAACAAAGTCTTGAACCAAATTAACATTGTTTGTAATAAAACTTGCAGACACTTGCCTCTGGTTCATAGAAACACTTAAACATTGTCAAACATAACTTTTAAATTCAAAATATTACTAACTACACAAGCAAACTAATTATGTCTTACCTCCAGGAGTCATTTAACTTTATGGGCCGGTCTGTAGGATCCCTCACAAGTGAGAGAGGAGAGAGGCATGTTAATGTTATGTTTGCCCACATCAAAACGACCACTGACTTCAGGACAGGAACCATGTCGGTCAGGCTGTGAGGAACATTAAACCTAAACGCACCAGAGCTGTTAACAGCTGTTGGTTAGCTCATGTCTTTTTGCTTGTCTTTGTGTTGTTCGTTGTGCAGTAGAGTCCAGCAGTCCCAGCCTCCTGTCTCCTGATAACTCTCTGGAACGATCCTTCTTCATCCGGATGAAGTCCACTCTAACAAAGAGAGGTGTGCACATCAAGTCCTCAGGATATAAAGTAAGACAATCAACCCAAACTATGCTTACAATCATTGAAAGTAGCATGATTTCTTTCTTAAGGTGAACATTAAAATTTTTAGACATGTTTGTGAATCTTGTTAGCGAGATTGGAATAAAAGGAAAATCTGCAATTACTTGAGAAAACCCTCTAGAATTACTTCTAACTGCCTATGTTAATAGTTCATACATAACGTATACCTTAAAATGCATTAATGTGAGCAGTGAAAACCACCTCTTAACATATTTGCAGTAGGCAGTTAATTACACAGAATCTAATGACTAGACAGAGAACAGATGTTAGAAGGTGGTGTGGCACCGATAGTCGTCCAGTGTGAAACACGTACCGAGAATGGAACATGTAAAGTGTTTCCATGGGAGACTGAAGCCATGCAGGATGAGACTACTACACTATTGCATTTAACTGAATCTCTTTGCAGGAGAAATTACATCTCCTATATAAAGTATGAGGCAAAGAACATATTCAAGCTGAAACCTGTTCATGTTTGTGCCAACATTAAAGAAAAACGTGAGTTTCTCTTTAAAAAGCTGTGCTTGCTAGTTAACTCTGTTTTCCAGGCCATTTTAAAAACAAGAAGTGTTTAAAACATTCTCTTGAGTTTTGTGGGTTTTTTCAATGTTTCGCTGTCAGATTTACATGGATTCTCCCTCTCCGGCATTTAAAATAACAACTGTTGGAACCATCCATGTCCACATCCAAAGCTGTCACACCCTCTGACTGTGACCTGCTGTGTTTTCCCTGTCAGGTGATCCACATCACAGGGCGTCTGCGGATCAGGATGGCTCTGACGCACAGCCGCTCGGTGCCTAATCAGATCATGGGAATGGTGGTGGTAGCTCATGCCCTCCCACCGCCCACAATTAATGAGGTTCGCATCGACTGCCAAATGTTTGTCACCAGAGTCAACATGGATCTCAAGATCGTCTACTGTGAGAACAGGTAAGGGAGAAATAATCTGGCTTCAGGGATTCTTTTGTTTGTGTCAGAGGGTAATATAAAAAAAATGTAATGAACCTGAACAAATGCATCTAACCTTTTCAGATCCATTTCTATACAGTGTTTTCTATATTTATTATAGAAACAAGAGGACAATAAAGGTGTCAGTTTTACCCCTGCAGAATTTTAGCTCTCTTTAGCTCCAATAAATTGGATATTCTTTATGTCATATTTCATGTTTTTTACTAAGGTGTCTCTCTTCAGCAGCTCCTCTTTAGGAATATGTGTAACTTATTGGTTGTTCTTGTTGGTTGTTACAACAAGAGCCAATGGAGTCATTTTTACTACCACAAGTAAAAAACTGTGGGACACTCAGCTGTCACTCTGCTGGGTTGTAATGCAAACAAATAAAGAAAACTTGACTGATATCGATTTTTTAAGAAGCAACAGGATTGAATAGAAATATCCTTCATTGTCTCACAGCAGGGAAATTCATGTAATGAGCAAAGTGAAAGGCAAATGAAACTCGCATATTCACACAAAGGTGAATATGCGAGTATGTAATTCTGTAAGAATTAGACTCATTACAGAAAAGGCAAATTTACTGCACGAGAAAAACAATAACAGCCAATTGAAATGTGCAACTGAGTAGGATACATTTAAAAATATACAACATTTGCATATAAATTTATGCAAAAGAATAGTTTTTTTTTTTTTTTTTTTTTTTTTTTTATCCAGAAAAATAGCTGGTCCTCCATCACCTCCATAGATAAGTCCTTATGCAAGTCCTTGTTTCTTAGAAATCACACAATTATGCTTGGAAAATATGCAACAAAGAAGTTCTGCCCAGATTTTATGTGCAGAAAAATCTGCAAAAAAAAAAAAAAGTGTTGCATGAACAGAATGGGGTCGTTGTTTCTTCCAACTCTGGGAAAGAACTGATTCCTCTTTGTTGCAAAGTATGTACTGACCTTAAGATCTGAATTTGAGAGAAGCTGCTTTGCAAAATGATCTGAAGAGAGTGAGATTACTGATTAAGAGTAAAAAAAATCACAAAGGAAAATGTGTAGGTGACATATTACAGCAGAGCTTCGACCTAAAGTTTTCCTGTCACTTTAATCAGTAAAACTGCCACATATAATTTAAAACCCTGCATAATGCAGCTTGATGCAAACATCTGCTGCATAATTAGGGGTCCAAGAAGGTGGAAGCAAGCGAACACAGCTGCCTTCTATTCATCCATGGACTTGGAACCCTGCTGTAACTGCTGTTTTCTTGATTTTTTTGTTGTTGTTGTTGTTCAGATTAATGCCTCTAGGCTTATGACCTAAATCTTAACATCAAATACATTACATAAATGTTATTTTACTTGATATGATTAGAATCCTTGTATAATAAGAGATTGTTGCTACACGACAGAAAATGCAAATGCTTCTTACAAAACCTTACCTTTGGGTTACACTTAATGATGGACCTGCATATCTTATGTAGAGATGCAGTCAAATAGGCAAAATGAATATTTTTGAAGTTTGTCAAATTAAAAAGCTTTATTGCTAGCTCAAACGGTCAACTCTCAGACATAATGACAGATATTGAGATTAAATTCTCATCCCAAACCTGAAGCCTGGTTCTGGGTTTACACAATATGGAAAACATCCAACACCAGGGAACGCTGCGGTGAGGAGTTATTTATTTTTTAAACATGTTCTTACAATCTGGACTTTACATATGTTAATGAATAGCTAAAGTGAATGTGGTTCATGTGGTTATGTGGTCACCAAAACTATAAATCTGAAATGAACCTAAAACTGAACTTTAATAAAATGAAGATCATGGTGATCAGCCCCATAATACAGTGAGCTGATAGATCAGGACTGGAGAATAGCACCCTGCCCCTAAAATATAATGATGTCATTGCAGTATCAGTTTGAAAATATATTTTTTTATTTACTTTTTTCAAATGTTGTATAAAAAATGTTTATACCTTCCACAACAATCACTGGACAAATCATTGTTGGCAATACAGACTCCAAATCCCTTCTTTAAATTCATGTTTCCACTGACATTATGACAAAACATCTCTGGTGATGTTAAGCCACTTCACCATCACCAGAGTCTTTGGCTTCCTCTACAGACTCTAGTGGAACTCTGTCTGGATCAGAATCAAATCAGCTATACATGAATCATTTTTGTTTTTAAATGTTCACGACATTCACATTTTAAAAGCACTTTTAACATCAATAATTGTTGCACAGGTCAGGTTTTCAGGTTTTCTTTCATTAAAGTTGGGTCCCAAATTATTCATATTATACATTAATTATAGCCAAAGCAACATATTATCTGAACAGTAAGTCACTCTACATCTTGTGTTGTTCAATGATTGAGTCATATATAATTTTTTGTGCAGAAGTTTGGGGCAATACTTATAAATCAACATTGCTAACAATCACTAATAGTATTGCAAAAAAGAGCCGCCAGAGTAAAACACGCTAGTTTTCTTACACACACAAATCCTTTATTTCTTAAGTCTACTTTATTAAAATTGCAGGAAATTGAGAAAAATCAAACTGCACTTCTGTTTGATGTTCGTTATAATCTGTTTCCTAAACATCTTCAGGATTTTATGGAAGAGAGGGTGTGAGGGAAGACTGAATTTCAAAACACAGCATCCCAACATCTATGAGAAGATTTTGTATCTCTGTAACTGGAGCCAAACAATGGAACAAACTGAATATGGAACTAAAACAATGTCCAAACATCAACTGGTTTAAAAATAAATACAAAGCTATGATACTCACATTGTACAGAGAACCTTAGCTATAAGTCAGGTTATTTACAATCATCATTGCTACTATTTTCTTGTCGTATTAGTTTGTTTGTAACCATCTTGTCTTTGTCATATGAGTTATTATTGAACAGTCATATAAATATTATATCATGATTTTAATTACTATATTTTTTATCAATAGAGTTGTTTGTTCTTGTGTTTGTTTTTAAAACCAGCTTAAAATAAATAAATACAAACAATGCAAATACATCATATTTTGTCTTTTGACAAACTTCCTGATCACTTAAAGATGTAACAATGTCACAGTTTTTAAGCTATCCTAAAAATGATTTGACTGTTTCTGCATCAATGTTTCATGACTATTTCCAAGGATAAAGAAGTTGTCAGCCTTGTTGGAGCTCCGTATTCATGAGGACTATGACCTAATCCTCCCCGGTTTAACAGTGAAATATGTCTCTGATGGTTCTATCGCCTTCCCTCTGTCCAGATAAAGCAGATAGCCATCAGGATCTTGTGCCGGAGCTAACGCCTTGACTGCAAAGATTCATATCAGGCAAAATAAAAAATAAAAAAAGAAATACCTCCTTCATGTTTTATAATAAAAAGAGCAGGAAAATGATGGTAGACAGATTGCTTTTTTGTGGGTGGAAAAGTGGATACAATGCAGCAGATGATGATATTCACTGTGGAGCGACAGAAATCGCCGCTGTGTTAAAGAGACAAGCGTCGGTTCCATTACAGCTCAATTTTGAGGATAAGTTTCTATGAGAATGAAAAAATGGCAGGATGCTTTTCTCCAAAGAACAAAATGGGCTGTTATCTGGCGTACAGACATTAGTCGCCCTCAACCATCCTCGATCTGACTAAAACGGGAAATTGTCTGCTCCATTCTGTGGTATTTTTGTTCACGTTAATCTTTTTAATGCTGATGAGTGTTAGCCATACCCGAACCTGACTGACTAGTTTCTTGTCCCTAAGTCATAAAGCATTTGTTTTAAATGGGAAACGTGTTTCTTGTGAGACTAGTTGGATCACATTCTTGGTGCTATTAAGCTTTAAAACATTTCTAAAATAGATTTTAGGTTTTTGTAACCAAGAAACCTACAAGAGTTGTAAATGTGAAACAGAAGAACCAAATAATTTCATCCTGACACATTTTGTTGAAAAAAAATGTAGCATTTGAATTAATCACTGATCCCATCTGAGCAGTTATTTTAATACAGATAAACAGGCCAGGAACATTTACATGACATATTATCTATGATAAATATATTTCTGAGGTGGTTGATTCTTTATAATTATTTTAAAACTGTCAAAAGGTGAGATAAAAGAATATGATCGAGTTCTGGACGAGACAGTGAAAGACATTAGTGTGTTTTTGTGGACTCCCAATCCATTGGATCCTCTTTATGTATATATCATAGTAATCAGGGTCAGTCCAGTCCCTCCTGCCCACATCCACTACAACACGTTTCAAATTGAACAAAACAGTTTATACTTGACGTTTGCTTTGCTTCACAACAGGCTGAATTAATAAGTAGATGCATTACTGTTACAGACAAGTTGCATGTAAAATGACAAGGACACTAAAATGTCCCGACTGGTTAATAACAAAGAGATTCAGTTTCAGTTCAGCTGGTTAATAACATGCCGCCTCAAGGTACTTTCCAAAGAACCATCACTTCAGTCTATTCATACACATTCCAATTGATCCCAGTTATCAGTGCTAGTGCAGTAAAGTTCTGTTCCCTCCTCCCTGCTTGGCGCTGGGCGGTCTTCCTGCCAGGGGTTGGTTGGGGCCCCTGGCCGCTGGGGGAACCGGCTCCGGGGCGTGGCCTGTGTGGCAGTGTGGCTGGGTCAGGGGGGCGTGGCACCCTACATTTCACCTGATGCCTCTTTGGCCTGAGGTCTGCTGGTCCTGTGCTGCTCTGATGACCAACCTCTGTCTGGGATAAATTGACCCTCAGCTGGTGCCCTGTGTTACCAGCCTGTCCTGCTGCAGCCTTCCAGAGCCTAGTCCAGGGGTGGGCAATCTTGGTCCTGGAGGGCCGGTGTCCTGCAACTCTTAGATGTCTCCCTGGTCCAACACACTTGAAATCAACAGCTGAATCACCTCCTCAGTGCAGTCAGGTTCTCCAGAGTCCTGCTAACGACCTCATTATTTGACTCAGGTGTGTTGAAGTAGAGACAAATCTAAAAGTTGCAGGAGACCGGCCCTCCAGGCCTGGAGTTGCCCACCCCTGGCCTAGTCCAACCACCCTTTGCTGCTTTCTACGTTTTTGCAACTGTGCGCCTCGACACAAACACACTTATACAGACAGTACACAAATATGGACGGATGCAGGTCAAACAAACACAGTTATTACTACAGCAATGTGGCTTGCCTGCTCTGACTGCAGTCTTGGTTCAGTCTTGGTTCAGTCTTGGTTCAGTCAAGTCAATCACTGAATTAAAATTCAATCTTGAGGTATGTTTTGTTGTAGAGCAAATATTCTCTGACAACCAGCTCGGTTATGTAGTGTGGCTGAAATGCTACAAGATGACGTAGCGTAACCAGCCAGTGAAAAGCATGTTCCTGATTTTTTTTTTCATTTTAATACAGTTCTGTGTTACTTGCTGCACTGTCCTTTTCTACACACTTCATTTTGAGAGTAGCATGAAGGATTACATACATGTGTTATCTTTGACTGCATGACTTTTATTTTTGGGGGATCTCTAAATTAAAACCAGACTAAATGCAGGAAACTGCTTTGGCATTATGAGATGTGAAAGATTCTTTAATTCTATTCTTTAATGTTCACACAAAAGTTGGCATAACATTTTGGCATATGCTCAACCAAAGGGAATGAACAAGAACACAAAAAATATATTAAAATTTGTCATAAATGTTTCAACCATCCACATAAAAACTGGATTTTTAACATACTTATCTTGCTCATAGTCAAAATGTTTGATATGTGGTCCTGTTCACTAATCGTTGGGGAGACGATCTTTAAACTGAACAGCCTTTTGGGACACATTAGAAAAAAATGTCCTCGTTAACTTGGGGTTTCGGTGCTTTTTACTTCGGTGTTTTTGTGAAACTAGAAATCAAAAATAAAAACTGCATACATGTTTCTGTGTCCTGTGTCTGTGAGGGTCTGACCTGTAGGTCTTCTTCCTCTTTTCATTTTGCTACTTATTTACTTTGTTTCAGAATCAGTGATTACATGGATCTGACCCCCGTGGACATTGTAGGAAAGAGGTGCTACCAGTTCATTCACGCGGAAGACGTAGAGGGGATCAGACAGAGTCACCTGGACTGTGAGTACTTTCACCACTTCTGTCTCACCGCAGCCATAAAAACATCTGTCTTTATCATGGCTTTAGCTGTGTTTGTGTAATTCATTTTCACACATTTCTCAAAAAAAACAGGTTTGAGTATTTCCATGGCAACTGAATCAGCTTATAAATCAGTATTAATTGTTTTACTGACGGTAAATAATGAGCGAATTGTAGCCAAAAGGTATCTCCAAAACAAAAAACAAACAGCTACCTAGCCTGCAAAGCTAGCTAGCTAGCAAGGCACCACCAGAGAACCGAACGCCGTACGCCCCCTCAGAGGAAAAGCACAAGCTGTCAAGCCAAAGAGGCACCTTTTCACCCAGCCACACCATCTTCCACCGTGCAGACCAAGCCCAGGGTCTGCATGGGCCGGTGCCCTATGGAATTCAGTTCAAAGGGAGGAAGAGCACATTACCACTCCATTTAGTGAACGAGCCCCAGCAATGTCAAAAGGGAAAGTACACTTCGGTCCTTGCGGGCCGCTATACTGCAATTCTTAGATGCCTCCCTGGTTCAACACACTTCAAATAAACATTTTAATCACCTCCTCAGTGCAGTGAAGTGCTCCAGAGTCCTGCTAATGACCTCATTATTTGACCCTATGTGTTGAATCGGAGATACGTCTAAAAGTTTTAGGACACCGGCCCTGGAGATTGGAGCTGGCCACACCTGCCTTAGCCAGCCCAAAGCATGCCCAGGACCCATACACCACCTGACAACCAACTTTTTAATTGAGGAAGGTAAAGTTTGAGCAATAGACTTGTCCATCCATCCATCCATCCATCCATCCATTCATTCATTCATTCATTCATTCATTCATTCATTTTCTGTACACCCTTGTCCCTTAGTGGGGTCGGGAGGGTTGCTGGTGCCTATCTCCAGCTAACGTTCCGGGTGAGAGGCTGGGTACAATAGACTTATCTGAACATCAAATAAACCCTTATGATTAAATCAAACATCACTTTAGACATTCATAGAACCAAAGACCTCTGTAACAGAACAAGGCTTAGGAACTGAACGGAGCCATTCAGACAGTGTTGGCCACACTTCTAAATATCAAATGAACATTAACAGCTGCCTCGCTTCGCTCAACACTGCTCTTCCCAGTGGAGGATGATTGTTTACAGTCAGGCAATTTTCATCAAGACATACGTCACGGAAAAACATTAGCAATTGGGTAAGATTTAAAACTTCAAGAGTCTACCAGGCCTCCAGGAAGCAATTGTTCTCAATAGTCGAGGGTCCAGACCCTCTAAAAGAAGCAAGGGGGCTGGATTTTACCAGAGATAGGTCTAGGGCTAAGCTACAGCAATATAAAACCTCAAAAAGAATTGTACAGGGACTGGACTGAAAGGTTTGAGAAGAGCTTGTTGTTGTTTAGAACACCTGCTCAGCCAGAAAAATAAACTCATATCCACAGCAGTCAGCTTAAAGAATAATGACACAAAATATTTTAGATCTTACAGTCAGAAGGCCCAGCTCCAGTTCTATGTACATTGATGGTAAAAGGACTCCCTGAAGCAACTGAAAAGAAGTTCAAGCACTCATGGTGCAACAGTGGCTGAGGGAGATTCCTGTAACTGGTGGGTTGCTAGTTTGGACCCCTGCTCTGTCCATCATAGTCACTATGCTGCTGTGTACCTGGACAGGACGCTTCACCTGCATTCCATGCCATGGTGATCATACGGCCTGGTGGCACCAACTGGGTGGCAGCTGAGGCTGGAATGTATATAAATGTCCTCGGACTTGATATAACTCCATACATGTACAAGGCCATTTACCATTTACATGGTTAACAGCCATTTTAACCCCTTAAAACATTTGAATGCATGTCTAAGAGTTGATGAGGACACCTCTGCCGTCATAGCAGTTATGGTGTTTTAAATATGCTCTTTCCCTCTGAAAGTTACTAGACAGAACATTCTGATAAACCTCTGCTTCGAACCTTCAGCAGTAGCTTTATGTTTCGCTCCACAGTGAGTGTCAATATCCTTTGTACTGCCTGGTGGAGGAATATAATTGCAGTCGTGTTTCCGCTTTTGAAAGTTTAAGGCCTCTTACAAACTGTGCTCCTCTCTCGTATCTTTACTAAGTTTTCTCTCAGCTGCAGCTCTGCAATCTTATTACTGTTGTCAGTAGGCACAATGCACCCAGTGACACGGACACACATGTGCAAGCTGTGGTTTTGCTGGGCCTTTTAGAGTCTGTCTGGATGATTTGCAGCACTGTGTTTGTTGCAGCAGTCAGATCTTTACAGTGGCAGTAAAAGCTGAGGAGGCATTCAGAGCAGCGCAACGTTTCACGGTTCGTCTGATGCAGTCAGGGTGTTTAGGCAGAACGCCAAATAATAACAAGCACACAGCAAGGACAACTGGCCTGATGGTAGTCAAATGTTGACAGCAGCTGTCAGATTCTCTCATGTGCTAGCCCCTGTATCTGATTATTGTGACACAGAGAAAGCATTCCTTCTTGTCTTCAAGGGATAGTTCAGGTCTTTTGAAGTCGGGTCGTGTGAGGAACATGAAGTGTTTCTTAAAGGTGTTTTTAGAAGCTGTGCACTCTGCTGTAGCGTCCAGACAAGCTTTCAAAATATTCTCCAGGTTTTGTTACTTATTGCACAATTAAAACATCTGCAAAGATTTAAAATGCTATTGTGTTGAGTTGTCACAATACATGTTGTCAAAGAAATATAGTTATTGTGTAAAGTTGATTTTGAATTATTCTTTGTGTTTTGGTTAGAAATCTTTGCAATCCGAAGAGCAATTTGTCCTCTCACTCCAACAAAGTAAAACTTATTTACAGCTCCTAATGTTGCATGACATTTTGAAAAAGAGCCACTTATTACTTTTAATATTTATCTATTGTAGGTTTTTTCTCTGTCATTTTTAAAGAACCATCATTTTATTTCTTTGTTTAGGTTTTTAAATAAAGAGAAACATGAAGATAGATATGTGTTCTTTGTTAGTACTTGTGGAAAATGATGTAAAAAAAACAAACAAACTTGAGCTAAAAATATTTACTGAATAATTGAATGTATTTACTCAATGAAAAAACTCCTACAACCTGAATTTGTTTTGCCTGTTTAAAAACGCATTCAGTAGTTTTTAGAAGTGTTATCCAGTTATCAAAGGTGCAAAGAGAAACATTACTAAAATTGTGTGTGTGTGCGTGTGTGCGTGTGTGTGTGTGTGTGTGTGTGTGTGTGTGTGCGTGTGCATGCGTGTGCGTGCGTGTGTGTGTGCGTGTGCATGCGTGTGCGTGCATGCGTGTGCGTGTGCGTGTGTGTGTGTGTGTGTGCGTGTGCATGTGTAAGTGGTTGTTTGTGCTGTGTATCTGGATGCAGCAAGACATTAATTGTACATTTCTGAAAGTTCTGTATAATGAGATAATTCAGGTAGGTGGTGGACCTTCCCTGTGCTCGGGCAAAAGACCAGCTGTCTGTAGAGACACAGTTCGACCTTTGACCCCGATAAAGCCTCTCACTGCTGTCGGCTGCTGCCAAGTAACTCTAGGACAGCATCTGTAAGAGAAGAGTTTAAAGAACAAAAGAACAAACAGCTGCCTCCTCCCAGGCCACATTCTCTCCTGTACGTACAGCAAGATGAGCACCAACGATGTGACAAGTAAGACGAAGAAAGCTTTACTGCCTGGCTTCTTCATCATGGTCTGGGATCTGTTAGAAATGGAACAATGAAGCTTTGAGTTTTGCTGGGCCGGCTTCATTCTTGACTGAGGAGAGTCAAGGTCAGAATGTTTCATCAATGACATGTTAACCCTGGTGAAACCAGCAACATAACCGTCCACTGTTTGACCACTCTTTGTGGCCTCCTGATCACTAAATGTCATTAAAAACACAAAGACTAGTGGAAACAAAAGTTTGAAAGAGCAGATGTTGGTAAGTTAAACATCATGGCTGCCCTTTGTGAACTCTACTTCACCACATGGAACGACGTTCCCACCACGTTCCCACCACGTTCCCACTTCATTAAGCCCTTAGCTCTGCTGTCAGCTTTTTGTTTTTTGTAGTGACGCACAATATATCTGAACCAACACTATCGGCCGATATGAGTATTTTTAACATATCAGTATCAGCCTGATAAATAAAACTAGGTCAATATTTATTTCCATATTCAGTCCTAAAATGTCGGTATATTAAAATCTGGTTTCTTTCAAACTAATAATAATTTTTAACTGACAACCTGATGACGATCCAGCAGTATGAACCTCAAATACCAATACATTTCCTTCCTGGGTTTTAGATTTTGAGTGAGGGTGTATGATATATATCCAGCACAAAGAAACTGACATGCTGAAACTTTTCTGTCATTTTTTTTTTACCAAAGTTTTTAAGCTCCAAACATTCTGAGTGGTAATCAGGTAAGAACTTTACACTGGCCTTGAAGGGTCAGACAGAATGAGGTGGGTTAGATTAGAATGTGTAAAACACACACACAAAAAGGTGTGCAGTCGTGAGGCAGATGATTCTTCACTGCGGTGAGGACGGGAGGTCAGGAAGGCGAGCCGGCTGCCAGCAGTTTAAACGACTTGGTTTTAGAGGAGCATATTCTAATAAAGCACCTTCAGTCACCCCGGCTGCTCGTTTTATTCAGCTTCTTTCAAAATTCATTTCTTTGTGAAAAGCAGGCTTTGAGAAACGGGGGTTGCAGGAAGGGGTCTATGTCTCTTCTTTTTTCCCTTTAACCAAGCCCAACCGGTGGAGTGTTGGTGATGTTTTTGTGAAAGATGGCTTTTTGTTCCGGGACCATTTGATTTGGTGATTTATTAGCATGCCAGCGATTCTCTAGAGC